ACATATTGTCAGGAGGGACCAGTCAATCACTGGAAAAGGATATCATGTTTGGCAAGGTGGAGGGTCAGAGAAAAAGAGGAAGACCCCCCAACAAAATGGAATGGCCAAGTGGCAGCATCAATGGGCTCAAGTGTGGTAACAAGTGTGAGGTTGGCCCAGGGCTGAGCCATATTTCATTCCGTTTTGCATAGGGTCGCTGAGTCGGTACTGACTCAATGGCACCTAACAACAACAACACAATGTCTAGGATACTGAGCTTTATGCATCCCATTCCATTTTTGAAGACTTTCCATTTTCAAAGATTGATACTTCATACATTCCAGGTTTTGATTATTAATGGGTATGCTCCTCATTTTGAGTTTTGTCCCATCAGTAAGTTATGGGTCCAAAAGCTTTGCTCCATTCACGTCATTGTGAGATGCCATGAAGAGAAACAACGTACAGGTGGTCAGAATTCCAGAACAGGAAGAGACAATAAAAATCACGGTGAAAATTGCCAAAGAGTTGTTGGAAGAAAACTTCCCTAACATCAAGAGAGACACGAAAATAATCATACAGGAAGCTGAACAAATACCAAACAGGAGAGATCCCAAAAGAAAATCACCAAGACATATCATAATCAAACTCTCCAAAACCAAAGACAAGGAAAAAGTACTGAGAGTGGGGACAATGAAGCGTCTCCTACAAAGGACAACCCGTAAGACTAAGCTCTGATTTCTAAGCAGAAATCATGCCTACAAGAAGACAATGGGATGACATATACAGATCTCTGAAGGAAAAAAAAAAAATTGCCAACCAAGCAAAGCTATCCTTCAAATACGATGGTGAAATTAGGACGTTTCCTGATATATAAGAAATTAAAGGAATTTGTAATGACCAGACCAACTTTACAAAAAAAAAATGTTAAGGGGTGTTCTTTGGACTGAGAACCAACAACAGCAGACAGCAACCTGAGATGACCATACACGACAGCGCCACCCAGAACTCAATCCAAATATAGAAGGATTAAAAGTAAAACAAGACAGAAAATAGGGATCCAGAGATACCAATTTATAATGAAGTCAACTACAAAGCAAAAAGAGGGAATAGTGTAGATACAGAACTCCCAAAAGGCAAGAAAGTCAAGTAGATTTCAAGATACAACAGATAGTTTTAATAAGGGAAAATATTAGTAAATTACAGGGTAACCTTAAAGAAAAATAATATACCTGCACATCAAAATAAAAAAGAGAAAAATCCGAAAGATGTAGTAAACAGCGACACAACAGACATGAAAATGCAAAGAAACCCCACAAACACAAAGAACTCAGGGCTGAAACTGATGTGAAACAAACAAATCAGCAGCAATATAAAAACAGAAAAGCAGTAACTCAAAAGAGGGAACAAGTCCTTACAGCAAGAATCATTCCCACCCCCTCCACACACAGAGTAGACAGGGGTGGGCAACTTGGACATTGGCTACCCAAAATGGGGGGCGGGGGGCTACAAAGGACAGCAATCAATTTATAACTATCGATACTTACACTGACTGCAAATGGATTAAATGCACCAGTCAAGAGACAGAGAGAGCAGAATGGAGAAGAAAACAGGATCTTTCGATATGCTGTCTACAAGAGGTACATCAAAAAGATGGAGACAGCCTAAATGATCAGCAATAGACCAACGGTTAAGCAAACTTTGCTACATACACACAATGGAATACTACACCCAGTTGGAGAAAAACTGTGACTCTGCGAAACACCTCACACCATGGATGAACCTGGAGGACATTATGCTAAGTAAACTAGTCAATCATAAAAGGACCAACACTTTCTGAGACCAATGTAGAAAGTTCTTGATTAAAAGAAATAATCTATGATGGTTACCGGGTGGGGAGGGAAAATGATTCATGGGCTAGAGGATAGACATGTTAACACAGGTGACAGGGCAGGCAATATACAACAAGAGGGCAGTTAGCAGAGGAAAGATGAAGGTAGTGGGAAACACAATGTTAAAACAGTGTTAACTGTTGGTACATGGAAGGGATTACAAACATTGTAATAAAGCAAAGGCTATGATTTGTTGAATGTAAAATGATGATCTGCTCTGTAAACCTTCACCCAATTCACAATAAAAAGTTAAAAATAAATAGCTTGGATTGTCCCTTCTTCAGAAATGCCTAGTTCACCGCTCTCCTCCCCCTTGTATTATGTCCCCTACTTGAGTACAGAGTGGTGACCTGGAATGACAGGTGAAGGGGTCTTCCAGCATATGGATGATGGGGAGATAAGACCCTCAATAGGAAAAACTGGAGCTGGATCAGGGAACACGCTGGCAGACCCCAACCAAGGCAGAGAAGGCAAAGCAAAGGGTTGAAGTATAATTCTCTCTGCGATTGCACTGAAAACTAGCTTTAGAGAGAGTCAGAAATGGAGCAAGGCACAGAAGACCTGGGATTCAGTGTTTCTGTGGCTGATCCACTCGAGGGTGCTCCTGGACCCTCAGGGGAACTCATTAAAGCAACCTTTCCAAAAGGCCTGGTCTGAGCCAGAGCACTGCCCTCTAAGAACAAGCTTCCTTTCCTGGGCACCACAACTATAAATACTGGAAGAAAGACCACTGAGAATGATAAAGCTGCTTGAGGTTAGGACCCACACATACGTGAGGGGTTGGCAAATGATCAGCAGCAAACCCTAACTCCACCAACAGGCTGCTGAAACTCGCTCCCTTCATCTTGTTAGGGAGCATGATAGAGTCTTCCAAATGCACTTATGGAAGGTACTGGTTTCTAACCAAAGCTCAATCACCTCCTGGCTCTTACTACCTTTTTCTATATTTTAGATTATTTTCTTGAGCAGAGGGGGCATCTGGTAAGTGGAATCATTAGGTCAAAGGCAGGGATGTTTCTGTGATACTCACACCTCCAGTTGGAAAGGCATCAAAGGCCTAAGCCTAGTTTGCTCTGGATCATGGGGTTCTGATGCTTTCCCTTACAGACTCTTGCCTCACACTTATTTCTAAAGTGCACATGGATCAATGGTGTGGCGCTGTGGGTTAATGCGCCAGACTGCAAAACCGTTTGAATTGCAAGGTCGGCGGTTCAAGCTCACCAGCTGCTCCTCGGAAACCCTACACAGGGTCGCTATGAGTCGGAAGCGACTCGACAGCACTTAACAACAACGTCACCGTTCCACTCACTCCTTCCCAGTTCTCAGAAACCAGGCCACACCTCATAAGCACAGGCGCAACCCCTGCCACCTAGGAAAGCTGAGAGCTGCCACTTAGAGTTCTGAGAAGAGACTTCCGGGGCGTATTGGTGGCCTCGCCGGAACGCACCGTGTGGGCGGGGTCAGCAGGGATCCCACCCACCTGGCGGCCCAAGCGAATGGCCGGGGAGGGGCGGGGGAGGGGCGGAGGGGAGGGGAGGGGCGGAGGCGGGGCCAGCTAGCTCCGCTCCGGCAGCCATTGTGTATCATCCCTCCGGGAGCCAAGCTAGGCGACCGGCAGGACCGGAGCGGGCTATCCCTGGCCGAGCCTGCGCCTCCTCACGGCCAGGCAAATCATCAGGCGGGGCCCGGAGGCCCAGAGGCCCAGAGGGGCAACCTGGGCCCAAACCCAGCGGCGTCACTTCCACCTCCCAGTCCTGTTCGCTATCTGGCCGGGCTTCTCCCCGCGTCACCCAGGAGGACTGTGGCCGGTTGTTGCGCTAAGGACAGGAACCGCAGCCGCTCCTAGAAGGTCTGAACTGTAATTCTCGCTCCTCTCCACCTCCAAACGTGCTCTTCGGCTGTGTTTTCCCAGGGCGCACCGTCTCCAAACGGTGCGACTGCCGGCGGCCCCAGCTCAGCGAGCGAGGCGGACATGAGGTTGGCAGGTGGGTGGCGTCCACAGGAAAGAAGTTGTCTGTGTCAGGTTCTATAAACCGAACAAGTCCTTTCACCACTGAGGACTTGGGTTCCCCAATCTGCAACGCGGATCACCCTTCTCTGAGCCGTCCGCGTTTGCATAAGTGTGGAAGAGTGAGAATCCAAAGTGAGGTGGCTGTGGGACCCACCAGCCCGACGACAGCCTTGTCCATCAGGGCTTTGGGGAAGAATAGGTTGGAGGGGTGGGAAACAGGGCTCAAGAGTTCAGTCCAGTTCAAGAGAGGTCAGACTAGAGAATCAATCGGGAGCCCTTGCTAACTGGCTGAGATGACCTAGAAAGAGTGCAGGTAGAGAGGCGACAGCAGCCTGAGAAAATCCAGCTTGGAAGACGGATCCAACCAAGGAGATGAGAATCCTTGGAGGCCAGTGGAGCAGAGGATTTCCTGAAGGAGGGTGTGGGCAGCTAACAGGCTGGGAAAAAGCAGGACTGACCCCATAAGTGAGCGTGGCCGTCAATACTGTGAAGGTTGTAGATGTCCTGGGTAACAAAGTGTGTCCATGGTGCCACGTCAGGTGGGAGGAGATGATGGAAAGAACCATTGAAGTCCACTGAAGGAGCTTGGTGCCGGGGAGGGAAGGGAGAGAGTTCAGTTCCTGGATGGGGATGCGCTTTTAAAGGAGGGCTTTTTCTTTTTTCAAATGGGAGATGTTGAAAATACAGGAAAAACCCTTGAGGTCAAGACAGTGGTCCATATTGTAAGCAGACTGAGAAGAGAGGCAAGTGTGGGCGCCCGCTGACAGCAGGGGACAGGCTGATGCTAAGGGTAGCGCCACCTTGTCCATGCAAGCAGGAGGAGGTGGCCTGAGGGGTTCCTGAGTGAGGGCTAGAGACCCTCTTTAGCAGTGAATGCTGGAAGACTCCCAACCCCACCATGGAACACTCAAGTCTCCCAGCTGTTGGCATGATGGTCTCTGGTCACCTCCTCCCAAGTGGAAGGGAAGATGTGAGAGGCCTTGGAAGTATCTGAGGTGAGGTGTCCACGTCTGTCCTGTCATAGGTCCCCTTCGGATTGTGGCCTTGATTGCTGTTGCTGGCCTCACCTGGATTGTAATCAACATCCTCCTGGGCGGGCCGGCCAGTGGCTTTCCACGCATCCAGCAACTTTTCACCAGTGAGTGTGGGGCTCTCCCAGCATCAGGGTGGGCGGCGGGCCTGCTGGGTTCACTCGTCCCTGGCAGGCCACCTCTAGCTGCCATCCTTCCATCTCCTGGCATCCCTACCACCCAGTTGCTTCACCTGGGAAAGCCAGTCCTCGTGCTGCTGCGTTGGAATCAGTAGGGACAGAGCAGGGGTTTCCTGTGAACGTTGGCTGTGCACCTGCTTGCTTCTGGCAGGCTGTCCAGTGGCCTGTGAGAGGGCTAGGGGACTCTACACCTTGTCACTGGTGACAAAACCACTGGCATCCAGTCATTTCTGACTTATAGGATAGGGTTTCCAAGGCTGTAGAACTTTCTCCCATGGAGTGGCTGCTAAGTTCAAGCCGCCGACCTTTGGATTCACAGCCAAATGCCTAAGCAGCGTGATAATGACACTTTGCCTAAATATGGAGCTCTCCCCTGGAACAGGTGGTTTGCATATGAGCCTCATTTAGAGGTGAGCAGGCATTGGCCTGCTGTACACCTCACTAATGGAGCCCATCCTCTGTCCCCACAGGCCCGGAGAACACAGTGACAGCAGGTAAGGTTCCTGCCGGGCCCACCCCTAGTGTCCTCTGAACCAGCATAGCTGCGGGAGGCCATCCCGGTGGGGTCAAGAGAGTGGCCATGCCCAGCACCCTGTCCAGCCCGCTGCACTTCCTCCTCTTGGCCCATCAGTGGCCTTCTCCTAGGGGTTCGTGTCACTTGTCCCTGAGGCCTGCCCCAGCAGCCGTCTCTGTGGAAGTGGTCCTCTGCTCTGTGGTCACTCTCACCAGCGCTTTCCCTCAAGACTTGAGTGATCCCAGGGCCATGCCTGTGGGTCACCCTTGATGTCTCTGCTCAGAACCGCGGGCCAGGAAGTACAAGTGCGGCCTGCCCCAGCCGTGTCCTGAAGAGCACCTGGCCTTCCGCATGGTCAGCGGGGCTGCCAATGTCATTGGACCCAAGATCTGCCTTGAGGACAGGATGTGAGAGAACTTGGGGTGAACAGCAAGGGCTATGGGAGGGGAAAAGTGAAGGGGAGGAGCAGCTGAGTCCACGACTTCCTTGCTGTCTTCCAGGCTCATGAGCAGCGTCAAGGACAATGTGGGTCGGGGTCTGAACATTGCCCTAGTGAACGGTGAGCCCCCTTTATCTCCTCTAAGGCAAGGCTGTGTGTGTCTGCTGAAGTCTGCGTGAGGGAAGGACACAATGAGCGAAATGCAGCAGAGAGAACTGAACAGTGTGGGAAAGCTAAGGGGAATCTCAATGGCCGCTCCGACAGCACCTCAAATGCCAGGCGGAGGCTTCAGGGTGGGGTGCAGGGACCAGAGTGGGGATATAATCGGGGCAGTTTGGAAAGTCTTGGGATGGTCCACTGTATCCTGGGTCTGGCAACAAGGGCAAAGGTGATAGGGTAGGATTGTTGCTGGCTGCTGGCCCAACAGAATAGCCCCTTCTTCAATCCCTCCAACACAGGGGTCAATGGGGAGCTGATTGAGGCCAGGGCCTTCGACATGTGGGCTGGAGGTAAGTGGCGGCCACAGTGGCCATGATTTTGATTACAGAATGACTGGGTGCCTCTCACTGGCTTCTCTGTCGCTATTCTGGGGGCTTCTCAAGCATTTCCTAAAGTCCAGAAAAGGTACAGTGCGGGAGGCATCAGTTGTTTCTCTCGAGGTAGTGAGTGCATTGTAGTTGGGAGCGCCCAGCCTTCTCAGGTCAGCTTGGCCCCTGCACTTCCTAGGTGACCCTACTTTAGTCCCCTCACTTGGACTTGGAGGGGCTTCCATCTGACTCTGTCCCCCAACCCCTGCTCCAGATGTCAACGACCTGCTGAAATTCATTCGGCCGCTGCACGAAGGCACCTTGGTGTTCGTGGCTTCCTATGATGACCCAGCTACCAAGTAAGTGCTTTCCCAGGACGGCTTCCACCTGACCCTACCTTGGCCAAGACTGTCATTTTTTCCTTCTGTGGTGGCAGGATGAACGAGGAGACCAGAAAGCTTTTCAGTGAGCTGGGCAGCCGCAATGCCAAGGAGCTGGCTTTCCGGGACAGCTGGGTGTTTGTAGGAGCCAAGGGCGTGCAAGACAAGAGCCCCTTTGAGCAGGTAGGGATGGCGACCTAGCAGAGCTCCACCTCTAGGCTCTAGTCCCTTGGCTGTCGGTACAGGTCAGGATGGTGACCCTGCCCCTGCTGGCTGTGTCCCCTGAAGGTTCCTTCTCTTCCCCCCACATTCTTCAAGATGCTCAGTCCAATCCTATTCCCCCTGAAGCCCAGGATCCCCCCTTCTCCCTGCATGCTCCTCCTAGAGCCAGAGAGGAGAAACAGGGCCTCGGCCTTGCTCTGGAGGGCAGACCCCCGGGCAGGCCTGCTGACAGCCAGGGCACCCCACCGCCCTGCTCCTGCCCACCTCTGCCAGCAGTCACCTCTCCTAGCCAGGCCACTGACTTCCTGCTTCCCACTCCCTTGGCAGCACGTGAAGAACAGCAAGCACACCAATAAGTACGAGGGTTGGCCTGAGGCCCTGGAGATGGAAGGCTGCGTCCCCCGGAGGAGCACAGCCAGTTAGCCACAGGGCACATGCTGCCTGCCACTCACATCCGGGTTCTTTGGTGGTGACTGGAGCGTGACCTTGAGGACTGGCTTTGCCCGTGCTGCTCGTCAGTCTCTCCCCCAGCCCTTCTCCATAGCACGGCTGTAGGTTTCGTGCACCCTCTCCAGCTGGAAGGCCCTCCATGCTCACCCACCCGCTGCCGGCCCAGCTGGGTGGGGCACCTTCACCAGCCTGCTCCCTGCCGGGTGGCCTGCTGAACTGGAGTGGCCCCAGTTTACTGTGAATCCTTCCCAGGGAGCCTGACCTGGCAGCCTCTTCCATGGCTCCGCCTTGGAGTCCGCCTCGCAAGGCCAGCGAGGTGGCTGGAACCTGACCATAGTCCCCTCACTGGGGGGCCGCCTTCTAGATGACCTCAATAAACTGATGGCTCCAAAGGAATGAAGCGCACTCAGTGTTGTCATCTGGGGAAAATCGGCTTAGAAGCGAACACCCGCACGGGATTCTGGGAAGTACTGCTGGAATATAAACCCCAGGCGCAATAAAAGTAGCAGCCTGGGTCAGAGACAGGTGGGGAAGCAGTTTGGGCGTCCTAGGTGGGAAGAAATTAGTTGAGGAACACTAGAGCTTGGTGGTACTGCATCATTGTAGGTGTCAGTGAGACACCTTTGAGGGTCTAAGCCGATGGAATTAGGGGTCCTGCTCTAGAAACTGGCTTTCAGAGCCATGGACTTGTGGGTGTTAACCGTGGCCAGTCCCAGGGAGCAGGCAGGCAGGAGACAAGGTGGAGGCACGGCTGGCCCTGAAGGGAGTCATGAGGGATAAGTGCTTGGAGATGTTAGTACTGCAAAAGCGTCAGGAAGGAGGAGAAGGGCCCAGGTGGCTGTCGAGAGCTGTGATCGTCAAAGCTGATGCTGAGCCAAGCACTGGGGGGGGGGGGTGTTTGTTCCTATTGACTTTCCTTTTATTCACACTTGCTCAGTGGGAAGGAGCACTGCTCTGTTCTTTGGTGGAGAGACGAGTGTGATGAAGTCCTATGTACCCATCATCTGACCCCCGACACCCCCAGTGTGTGACACACGTTACCTACGTGGGCTCCCCAAGTACCGGCCTGTCCCACACAGTAAGCAGGAGAATGCCAATGGGCCAGGTTCCACACAGTTGAAACAATCTTATTGGTGTCCATGCTGCCAGGCTGAGCTCACACCCCACCGGCCCACAAACAACTGCTGTGATTTCACACCTTGCCCCCTCTGTGTTCACCAAACTGTCCCCAAGTGCCTGTCCTGGCCGAGGGCTGTGGTCAGCCACATTTGGCTAGTCCCCTAGGTAGGCATTTCTCAGCATCCTTGGGCACCAGGAGCCAGCATGTGATTTGCTTCCACCAGGCTGACTGGAAGATTGGAGGGAGCTAGGAGATGGGAGTGGGTTTCTGCTGCTGCACGTAGTCGGGAAGGTGTTGTTGGGTTTCCTGTAACAGCACTAATATTAATAATCATAACAATAATAGTGTTGAGTCCAGACTGGAGCTAGGGTGTCGTGGACTCGGAGCAGGTTCCTTCCTTCTCTGGGAGTTAATTATCCTTAAACCTGTTCGTCCAGCCCAGCCAAGAATTTTAGAAGTACCTACTTCCTCCCATTAGATCGCCTTCTGGTTCTTATCGATGGCAGGTTCTTTTCTATATAAAGCTAGCACTGAGGGAAATGCACCCAAATAGGACCCTTGGTCATTCCGAATCCCCACCATGTCCCCTTCCAAGTATAGCCTGGCTCCAGCCACACACTGGGTCCTTATCTCATTAGATGTTGTCGGTAAGTGTCATCAAGTTCGTTCCAACTCATAGCAACTCTGTATGAGTTTTCCTGGAAGTGGTTGGTGAGTTTGAACCACCAGCCTTGGAGTTAGCAGTCCATTACTTTTCCTACGCCACATCAGGACTCCATTCTTTATATAGAAGTTGCCAAAGTCACTTAGAGATGGAAGTGCCCAGTCAGCTTTATCCACCAACTCACCCAAAATGGTACACAAGCAGCCGGACTTTGCAAAGTGCAGATAAAGCTTAGATTGTCCTACAGGTCTCTGCTGCCAAGGTACCAAGCCTTCCCAGGCCTTCCCTTCAGAAGCTAGATCATTCTTAGTTAGAACTCACAGAAACCCAACTCAAGTTGACAAAAGCAAAACAAAAGGGGGCAGGCATTTCTTGTCACAAATCAAAAAGGCCAGAGATGATTCTTACTTCAGATGAGGCAGGGCAGGGAACAAGTTTTTCTTTGTATTGTCTTCCTTCTCAAACAGGCTTTTCCAGGTACAGGGAAACAACAGTACAAGTCCCAGTTAGCAACCGGAACAGAAAGATCTTTCACTTTCCTTCCAGTGCTAGGCCCGGGACTCACACTCCTTGGCCAGGATTGGATGTTGGGCTTCATTTTGCATCAGTCTTTGGAGCTCTGATTGGCAAGACCTGGGACCATGCATACTGAGTGGAGGACGGATAGGTCCCCCAAGGAAAGTTGAGATGCTAGACAAGCCAAAATAGCAGCAGATACTACACTTCCCTATGAATTCCAGATGTACCCCATAAATAGCCTTGCTTTGTTATCCCATGATATTCCTAGAGGCCCTCAGGGTCACCACTGAACCCCTTAACATAGTGCATTGGCGAGTTGCTATCATTCGTTCCATCTGTCCTCTCGGTCCAGATGACGTTGCTTTCAGAAGTGGAGCCTGTCCTCATTCTCTTCTGGGGCACATTACAGGCCCATAAAGCATTACGGACATTCTCTTACCTTTAGTTCAGCCTTTCCCTTTTCCTATAGAGAAGGCCACCAAAATCGCCTTATGCCAGACATCCCACCAGCCCACCTGGGTTTTCAGCCTTGGCAGTAGTGGGAACAGTCTTTGAACTGTGCATTTGGCCTTTATCCCCGACACAGGAAATCTGGAATTGGTAACTGTGAAAGTTAAGGTTTTGTGTGGACTTGACAGGCTACTCTGTGGTCTGACAGTTGAGATGTAGCTATCCTTCATGATGTGATTTGATTGATAAACCAATAAGGTAGATTTGTGATGGGGTTGTTGTTAAGAGCCGTGGATTAGGTTCCGACTCATAGCGACCCTGTGTAGGGTTTCCAAGGAGCGGCTGGTGGGTCTGAACCGCTAACCTTGTGGTTAGCAGTCTAGTGCTGATTCTACAGTGCCACACAGGACTCCACCTTTAATCAAAACACCAGCCTGATCTGATTTTATGGAAGATTCCCAATGGTGTGGCATGCAACACCTTTTAGTTTTGTTGTTGTTAAGTGCATTGAGTGGACTTGGTTCTAACTTATAGTGATCCTCTATAGGCTTTCTGAGGAGTAGCTGGTGGATTTGAACTGATGACCTGTCAGTTAGCAGTCCAGTGCTTTTCCTATAGCACCATACCAGAACTTGAGCAGAGAAAGAGGAACCTTTGATCAACAAGATAGAAGAGCCCAAAGTGGAGTGTGTCCTTTGGCTCCTCCAGGTACAGGGAAACACTGTGAAGTTCCTACAGCCAGGGAAAGATCGACCCCAAGACACATGGACAGCTCCAAGCGATGCCGGGCCTATGATGCTGCAAGGAGACAAGGACCTTTCCCCAGAGCCAATAAGCCAATAGACCTTCCCCCTAGAGCTGGATCTCTGAATCGGGACTTCTAGCCTCCTCAACTGGGAGACAATCAATTCCTGGTTATTAAATTCATCCACTTGTGGCATTATTCTTATAGCAGCAGTAGAGAACTGAGCCCATGGCTTTTAGGTTTTCCTTCACTAGAGCATGGCTTGGCTTTTGGTCACAGGCACGTTCACTGACCAGCCTCCTTCCCACTCCTCGGACTTATTTACCCATCCTCCCACAGTGCCCAGTCCCATTGTCATAGGAAGTGCCTAGCCCAGTCCTCTCACCTGACGTGCTCTAAAGGTACCACCTACTTCTGCCAGGAGCTCGCAATTACATTTTTGAAGTACAAACACTTCAGGGCAATAAGTGCTCACAAATGGTTTACGCAGTCCTGGTTCTTGTAGGCTAAAAAACAGCCTAGAGCCATTGCCTTTGAATGTTTTTGATCACCCCTACAAGTCAAGCCTTTTTGAGCCTGTACCCACCACTATATGTACATTTGTTAATAAAAGAGAAGGATTCCAAATTAAATCAATAGAAGGCTGAATTAGTGAGCTTGAAGAAAAATCTGTCAAAATTCGTCTGCTACAGAAACAATAAGAAAAAAAGAAGTAAACAAAAAATCTGTGCAACTCTGTTGAGAGGAATAACATACAAGTGATGGGAATTTCAGAACATGAAGAGACAAAAAAGAAGAAAGAAAAAAAAGTAGAAAAAAATGTAGACAACTGAAGA